TTTAGGTGTGTGTGTGTGCAACTGGAGTGTTTCAGCAGTGTGTGTGTGTGCAACTGGAGTGTTTCAGCAGTGGGTGTGTATGCAACTGAAGTGTTTCAGCAGTGGGTGTGTGTGCAACTGGAGTGTTTCAGTTTCAGCAGTGTGTGTGTGCAACTGGAGTGTTTCAGTTTCAGCAGTGTGTGTGTGTGTGTGCAACTTGAGTGTTTTAGCAGTGTGTGTGTGGGTGTGCAACTGGAATGTTTCAGCAGTGTGCGTGTGTGTGACTGGACTGTTTCAGCACTGTGTATGTGTGTGTGTGACTGGACTGTTTCAGCACTGTGTATGTGTGTGTGTGACTGGACTGTTTCAGCACTGTGTATGTGTGTGTGTGACTGGACTGTTTCAGCACTGTGTATGTGTGTGTGTGACTGGACTGTTTCAGCACTGTGTATGTGTGTGTGTGACTGGACTGTTTCAGCACTGTGTATGTGTGTGTGTGACTGGACTGTTTCAGCACTGTGTATGTGTGTGTGTGACTGGACTGTTTCAGCACTGTGTATGTGTGTGTGTGACTGGACTGTTTCAGCACTGTGTATGTGTGTGTGTGACTGGACTGTTTCAGCACTGTGTATGTGTGTGTGTGACTGGACTGTTTCAGCACTGTGTATGTGTGTGTGTGACTGGACTGTTTCAGCACTGTGTATGTGTGTGTGTGACTGGACTGTTTCAGCACTGTGTATGTGTGTGTGTGACTGGACTGTTTCAGCACTGTGTATGTGTGTGTGTGACTGGACTGTTTCAGCACTGTGTATGTGTGTGTGTGACTGGACTGTTTCAGCACTGTGTATGTGTGTGTGTGACTGGACTGTTTCAGCACTGTGTATGTGTGTGTGTGACTGGACTGTTTCAGCACTGTGTATGTGTGTGTGTGACTGGACTGTTTCAGCACTGTGTATGTGTGTGTGTGACTGGACTGTTTCAGCACTGTGTATGTGTGTGTGTGACTGGACTGTTTCAGCACTGTGTATGTGTGTGTGTGACTGGACTGTTTCAGCACTGTGTATGTGTGTGTGTGACTGGACTGTTTCAGCACTGTGTATGTGTGTGTGTGACTGGACTGTTTCAGCACTGTGTATGTGTGTGTGTGACTGGACTGTTTCAGCACTGTGTATGTGTGTGTGTGACTGGACTGTTTCAGCACTGTGTATGTGTGTGTGTGACTGGACTGTTTCAGCACTGTGTATGTGTGTGTGTGACTGGACTGTTTCAGCACTGTGTATGTGTGTGTGTGACTGGACTGTTTCAGCACTGTGTATGTGTGTGTGTGACTGGACTGTTTCAGCACTGTGTATGTGTGTGTGTGACTGGACTGTTTCAGCACTGTGTATGTGTGTGTGTGACTGGACTGTTTCAGCACTGTGTATGTGTGTGTGTGACTGGACTGTTTCAGCACTGTGTATGTGTGTGTGTGACTGGACTGTTTCAGCACTGTGTATGTGTGTGTGTGACTGGACTGTTTCAGCACTGTGTATGTGTGTGTGTGACTGGACTGTTTCAGCACTGTGTATGTGTGTGTGTGACTGGACTGTTTCAGCACTGTGTATGTGTGTGTGTGACTGGACTGTTTCAGCACTGTGTATGTGTGTGTGTGACTGGACTGTTTCAGCACTGTGTATGTGTGTGTGTGACTGGACTGTTTCAGCACTGTGTATGTGTGTGTGTGACTGGACTGTTTCAGCACTGTGTATGTGTGTGTGTGACTGGACTGTTTCAGCACTGTGTATGTGTGTGTGTGACTGGACTGTTTCAGCACTGTGTATGTGTGTGTGTGACTGGACTGTTTCAGCACTGTGTATGTGTGTGTGTGACTGGACTGTTTCAGCACTGTGTATGTGTGTGTGTGACTGGACTGTTTCAGCACTGTGTATGTGTGTGTGTGACTGGACTGTTTCAGCACTGTGTATGTGTGTGTGTGACTGGACTGTTTCAGCACTGTGTATGTGTGTGTGTGACTGGACTGTTTCAGCACTGTGTATGTGTGTGTGTGACTGGACTGTTTCAGCACTGTGTATGTGTGTGTGTGACTGGACTGTTTCAGCACTGTGTATGTGTGTGTGTGACTGGACTGTTTCAGCACTGTGTATGTGTGTGTGTGACTGGACTGTTTCAGCACTGTGTATGTGTGTGTGTGACTGGACTGTTTCAGCACTGTGTATGTGTGTGTGTGACTGGACTGTTTCAGCACTGTGTATGTGTGTGTGTGACTGGACTGTTTCAGCACTGTGTATGTGTGTGTGTGACTGGACTGTTTCAGCACTGTGTATGTGTGTGTGTGACTGGACTGTTTCAGCACTGTGTATGTGTGTGTGTGACTGGACTGTTTCAGCACTGTGTATGTGTGTGTGTGACTGGACTGTTTCAGCACTGTGTATGTGTGTGTGTGACTGGACTGTTTCAGCACTGTGTATGTGTGTGTGTGACTGGACTGTTTCAGCACTGTGTATGTGTGTGTGTGACTGGACTGTTTCAGCACTGTGTATGTGTGTGTGTGACTGGACTGTTTCAGCACTGTGTATGTGTGTGTGTGACTGGACTGTTTCAGCACTGTGTATGTGTGTGTGTGACTGGACTGTTTCAGCACTGTGTATGTGTGTGTGTGACTGGACTGTTTCAGCACTGTGTATGTGTGTGTGTGACTGGACTGTTTCAGCACTGTGTATGTGTGTGTGTGACTGGACTGTTTCAGCACTGTGTATGTGTGTGTGTGACTGGACTGTTTCAGCACTGTGTATGTGTGTGTGTGACTGGACTGTTTCAGCACTGTGTATGTGTGTGTGTGACTGGACTGTTTCAGCACTGTGTATGTGTGTGTGTGACTGGACTGTTTCAGCACTGTGTATGTGTGTGTGTGACTGGACTGTTTCAGCACTGTGTATGTGTGTGTGTGACTGGACTGTTTCAGCACTGTGTATGTGTGTGTGTGACTGGACTGTTTCAGCACTGTGTATGTGTGTGTGTGACTGGACTGTTTCAGCACTGTGTATGTGTGTGTGTGACTGGACTGTTTCAGCACTGTGTATGTGTGTGTGTGACTGGACTGTTTCAGCACTGTGTATGTGTGTGTGTGACTGGACTGTTTCAGCACTGTGTATGTGTGTGTGTGACTGGACTGTTTCAGCACTGTGTATGTGTGTGTGTGACTGGACTGTTTCAGCACTGTGTATGTGTGTGTGTGACTGGACTGTTTCAGCACTGTGTATGTGTGTGTGTGACTGGACTGTTTCAGCACTGTGTATGTGTGTGTGTGACTGGACTGTTTCAGCACTGTGTATGTGTGTGTGTGACTGGACTGTTTCAGCACTGTGTATGTGTGTGTGTGACTGGACTGTTTCAGCACTGTGTATGTGTGTGTGTGACTGGACTGTTTCAGCACTGTGTATGTGTGTGTGTGACTGGACTGTTTCAGCACTGTGTATGTGTGTGTGTGACTGGACTGTTTCAGCACTGTGTATGTGTGTGTGTGACTGGACTGTTTCAGCACTGTGTATGTGTGTGTGTGACTGGACTGTTTCAGCACTGTGTATGTGTGTGTGTGACTGGACTGTTTCAGCACTGTGTATGTGTGTGTGTGTGTAACAGGAGTGTTTCAGCAGTGTGTGTGTGCAACTTGAGTTTTTCAGCAGTGTGTGTGCGCAACTGGAGTGTTTCAGCAGTGTGTGTGTGCAACTGGAGTGTTTCAGCAGTGTGTATGTGTGTGACTGGAGTGTTTCAGCAGTGTGTGTGTGTGTGTGTGTGTGTGTGGAGTGTTTCAGCAGTGTGTGTCTGTGTGTGTGCAACTGGAGTGTTTCAGCAGTGTGTGTCTGTGTGTGCAACTGGAGTGTTTCAGCAGTGTGTGTGTGTGTGCGACTGGAGTGGTTCAGCAGTGTG